GATGTGTGCTCAGTTTTGAAATTGTCTTCAAGTTGCTGCTCCTAGTGTGATTCCAAATGTTATATTTATAACGACACCCCCTGAAATCTTTCAACTCGTCCTTGTGCTGATCGACTGTTCTGAAGAAAACGGTGATATGCCGCCTTATTCGTTTGTCAGTCGACGTTCGAGGTCAATCTACGATGGCAACGACGAAAACGAATGAAGTGTGTGGTCAGAAACATCGACCAGTTATGCAGTAAAACTTGCGTGAAACTCGAGTATCGCCGTAAAATAGCTGGCCGTTTAGCAGATTCATTACGTCGTAAAAATTCGTCTTTCTGTTGTAATTAAATAGAGCGGATGCCATCGTCGTCCGTCGATCAGCCGACAGGCCTGGTCGGACAGGACCACCCATCGTCAGCAACGTGCGTGACTGGACGACGACCACCTACCTAGCTTCGTAGCACCAACTCACGCTCCCCGCCTTTCGACCGGCCTTCTGAAGGTTGTTCGAGTGCCCCGAACCGAAGGCACCACTTCCAGCCGCCTGAATGTTTTCCGACGTTTGCATTGCGGTGCAAAACCCTAACGAATAGTGATAGAGCTGTCTGTCAGGTAGACATGGCCTGAACAGCAGTGTTTCGGATAATCGATTCATATCACCCATTGAGGATGGATGGGGGGTACACAGTAGTGGAAGGTCCGCTTTGAACTGCAGGACCGGATTCGAATGCTGAAAATGTTTCTATGAATCGATATTTCTGTGGAACAAGGAAAATCGCTGCACGTTGCTTCGATGCTATCAGTTGCGGAAAAAAATAGCGAGTCGTTGATTGACGAACAACCGGGACAGAATAGTGTTCCGATGTGATCATATGAAATGGGTGAGACAGATGAATTAGAATAATGAATCATGATCTCTGGTGTGGGTGTTTCTTTGGACTGCAGTTAGGCTTGACCCACCATGTAGCTGACTTTCCTGTGTGGCAGTCGACACACTGGAAAACAGAAAAAAGGAACTCATCATTCAAATAGGGATCGACTGTTTCTACGTTAACCTGTGCCACATGTGGCTCGTCACCTTGCGATGCAAGATCTTCCTATAGAACCAACAGTGATCTCGAACGCTCTGATTCCGGTCTTATGATATTTATACCATGACGTTTAAATAAATTTTAATACAATAAATAAGGAAACAAACCGCTGTTTAGATTTCATCAAAACTTCATTTGAAGCAAGCGTACTGCTTTTAGATTTATTTTATATTTTCATGCGGCTAAAAGTTAAATCAGAAGACGTGTCGGATTTAAGTCATCTACGGCGCAAAGAAGCTATATAAAGTAGTTTTTAATGGTTTTTTTCGTACATTTGACTTTGATCCTATCTCTAAAAGTCAACAAAACAACCTTGCGCACAGATATATTTTACGTACCAGGTTATTGAGTTCAATAAGCAGTAGCTTTTACCGTTGTAAATGCAGTTTTATTTGTAGAGCAGTGTGTTTACATACATTAGTAAAATTCATAACTTATGATGGGGCACTCGCGCATATTTTGTCTGATGCTAATTCCTTATGCTTTGCCGTTTTAATGCAACGGCTTCTTCAGAAAGTCAGCGACGAATTCAAAGCTAGCAAATAGCTGCAGATCACTTACGAACACTTAATTCACTTACCAAGCCGTGTCAGGACTTTCAATAAATATAATAAACAATTTTTTAGCATCTATTTTACCTGGATTTGTTAAGGGTTTGAATCATATTTGTATGTTTAATTATTTGTTCGCTTGTAGTTTTTTCTTTGTTACTGTTTCTTTGCTAGTTGTTGATTGTTTCTTATATTAGTCGCGTACAGTAGCCGTTGTTTCTGAGAGCTCTCCTGAAGTATGCCAGTTTCTTTATGAGGACTGATGTCGTTTCGGCATCTGCTGACTGGATTGCTAGCGATATTCTTCAGAAATCTCACATCAGTGACGTAGTTATTCCTTGTCGCTTGATTAGTGCAACCACCTTCATCGTAAGTATTATTAATTAGTTAAAGCGTTAAAAACACTAAAAGCAATTTATTTTCGAAGTTCCGATGTTAGTTACGAAAATATGCTTTTTCTGGCAGTTCGAATCAAAGTTCAGAGTATAGTAGAATAAAACCATTAATTATCGACCCATCGTCAACTGGGGTGAACAGACGGCAACAGCCAAATTGCCAACAGGACAGTACCGTACAAAGAAATAAAAGTACGAGGAGACATGGAAAGAGCCGCCATAATTTAATCATTGGTGATTTTTATGCCAAAGTTGGATCGCAGCATGGGAACCGGTGCCCTGTGGGCCCAACTGATTACGATGAAAGGAATGACAGATGTGACCAACTAGTGAAGTTTGCTTAAGAGAACAGGTTGTTTATCTGGAACCCAGTTTTTCAGAAAAACAAGCGAAAAGTGGGCACCTAAATGACGTCAAGAATGAAATCGATTTCATCCTAAGTAAAGTGAAACACACGTCGCGATGCTGAGCACGTTTAATGCAAGGGGCAACCATCGACTCGTAAGATGCGAAGTGCGCATGGACTCGATTTTGGAAAGAAGGAATTACCTGAGGATGAGATGCCAGATACTCTAAATAGTGGAAGCACTGAAGAAGAACCTCGGACTGTTCAAACCAAAATAAGTAACCGATTTGACGTCGTTCACTGAATACCAGATGAAGAAGCAGTATGCATCAAAGCAATGTGCCAGAATATAAAGACAGCAGCTATAGAAGCGGCAGAAAACATGTCCGGAACAAGGATCATAAAGGCCGACCGAAACATCATGAAGCAAGCGAAAGAACTCTCGAAAAAACGAGGATAAACGAGGGCAGCAACAGGTCATAAATCAAGAATCGAATAGGTTAAATTTTGCAAAATACCGAGGAAACGTCTAAAAGAAAAAGTCTTCAAAATGGTAAAGGAAACTAAAATAGCAGAAGCATGAAGGAATTAAGTGAAAGAATGACGGTTGGGAAACGACAGATTTTGACTCTCAAAGCAGTTTATAGGACTGTTATCAGAGACAGACAAGAAATTGTAAAGAAAGTTGTAGATTTCTCTAGAAGCCTGTTCAAAGAGGAAGATAGCAACGTTCTCCGTGACGATGAGGTAGCTAAAAATGCAAATGAAATTGATGAAATCCTGAATATCTTGCCAAAAGAAGTGTCACAAACAATAAAACAGGATATACATGGACAGGCTCTTGGCAAAGAATGCGTTACAGTGGAACTCGTAGAATCAGGAGGTGAAGCACGGTCCAGGGTATTTTCGTAGTTTCACGTTGTGTGAAGGAGTTGAAAATTCCAGACAATTGGACTACAACATCCATGCTTCTACTACATAAAAAGAAGACAATGAAGATTTGAAGAACTGCAAGCTAATGAGTTTGTTACCAGTCATCTAAGAGATTTTTATGAAGGTGCTGAGGTGGGTGTACGAAGAGTAACTAAGACAAGCAACGAATATGAGCTTCCTCTCTAATTCATTCGGATTGGTCGATTTCGAAAAGGCTTTCGATTCAGTATTCCTCCGTTCTCCACTGGATTCTCTGAGCAGCCAGGGAATCGCGAAAAGACGTATAAATCTGTTTGCAGTGATTTACGATTTACAATTTAGCTGGTAGTGTGATGACTTACGAGAGAGCATTAGGAAGTTAAAAATCGAAAAGGACCTTCGACAGGGTGATGCAGTATCACCGAAGTTTTTAACAGCAGCGCCTGAATAGTTTTGAAGAGAGTTTGTTGTTAGAAAGATTAGCCGTTCAGCGTGAATTGGAACTGCTTAAGCCACCTGCGGTTTGCAGACGATGTTCTGATCCTCTGAAGATCACCAGACGGTTTCCAGAGAAGAATCCAAGAGCTGAACGAAATCAGTACGACCCGAAGAGTTAAGTTATTTCTGGTGAAGTAGGTCACCGCACGACCTGTTGAAGCCAACCTGAAGAAGTGCAAAACTGCGTCTAAATAGGACAGTTCAACTCTGCAACGGAGTGAGGTAGAAATGACGTGGAACAGTTTTGGCAGATTGAAAATGTTCGTATCCGGAAAACTGCCCTATGCTTGAAACAGCTAGTTTTCGATCAAGTCGTGCCCCCTGTGCTCACCTGTGAGTGCGAAACGTTGATTTAGAAGTCTGAAAACTATTTATGAACTGCACACTACGCAGCACAACGTTGAAAGATGTGCATTGGGAATAAGAAAAAAGATTAGAAGAGCAACGAATGCATGAGGGCACGTACAACAGTCTGAGTGAAGAATTTCACATGGTAGTGGGTGTGGCATGTTGCAGGTAGATCTGAGTGTCGTTGGATCGGAGAGACGTTCAGTTGTGTTCCAGGAGAGTATAAACAGCACGTGACATGCCGTTCACATCATTGGCAGGATGAGCTGAAGAGTTCGCTGGATGAAAAGAGAAGAAAAGAAAAGTCCATAGTGAAGTCTTGGAGACACCTTTATCCAGCAGTGGTTCGACAGAAGCTGGTGATTATGATGATGAAGGTAACGAACATAGTATTCTTGTTTTATCAGGTACTGCGAGTCAACTCTTTTTTTTTGAAGCTCCTCTCTAGTTTAAGAACAAAAGACGTTTCACAGTACTTTCAAGTAGATAATCCACAGGTGTTTACGTGGTTCGCTATCCGTAGAGAACATTGATTTTGGTGTTCGTCTTTATTGTAGGTCGTCATGAAATTTCATCATTGATTCAGATGTCGCAAGGTATGTATCTTATTTTGCTTTGGTTTCGGTTTGAACGATTCAGTGGTAACGCCGACCACTCCCCATTCGTTGCTACCCGATCATGGACGGTGGAGCTGCTGTGACGTATGTTCCGTTTGGTACCGAATTGCATTTCAACGTTGTCTTCGCCTTCTTCGTACTCAGACTTTCGACAGTGACTGACCAGTCGTGTGGGAGGACAGAGTGTGAGGCGATGAACTGGAGGTGGAGGGTGAAGTGACGTACGGCAGCGTTGTGCATGTGCGACTCTTCCAGTCTCACGGCCGTTCGTCTGGCCGGCCCATCGGAGCGCTCTGTTTATTAGCGGCTGTTGCCGCGGCGGTTTTTGCCTCCCTTTGACACAACGGGTGGTCCCGCTGCCGGTCGACCTCCCAAGTCGTCGCCAACTCCGTTTCGCTACCACCGACGTGCCGTTTTGCATGACGGCTGCCGTGGCGTTTGCCGTACGCTCGACATCGCCATTCGGCCAGAGGCTTCGTCTCAGCGGCATGAATGAATGAATAAATCGCCCCTTCGTCGTCGACCGTTGCCGTGGCTTTATTTTCCTGCAGCCGAACAGTACGATAGCCCCCGGCATTCCGTGGCCTCGTAACCTCCATCCAAGCGCCTCTGTGCACGTTCTCCACACGTGCCATACTGTAATTGTCGACCATTGTCCTTCGATCGGTCAGTGTTTACCTGCGAGGCCACGTGCCCCGTTGTCCACCTCTTCATGTCGTTTTTTCTCGCCCTCATTGTATGAAGTCGAAACTCACCTCCACTTCACAGTTTCTTTTTCGAGGGCCTTTCGTTAGATATGCAACTAGGACTACGTACTTTATATTTTAATGTTTTCATTCCCCCTGCTATCCGCTGTTTCTGAGTGCATGATTGATTCCAGCGTTTTGTTTTTTTTTTCTGTTGCGCTTGTCTATAAATTACCATCCGCAGATGTAATGTAATCTGACCATACCGGTATGGACTGAAACTGAACCTG